TGCTGATCTCTCTCCAAGGATGGATGTGTCGCTACAAGCATACTCATACAACATGCCACGACCACTCAATGATGTTGTTCGTCTTTTCATGTTTCTTGATCTATTTGTTTCAACAAACGATTCATCAAGGACAAAGGCTACTTTTCCTACAGCAGCTGGTTCTGCTTCAGGTGGAATACCAGCACTGAAAGGAAGATCTGCAGTTTCAACCCCAACAAACTCATCTGTCTCTTGTTCTGGAACCAATGGATGCTCCGCAACTGGTTCAACTGTCTCACCTGCTGGTGTGGGAGCAGCTGGCTCAACTGCCGGCGTAGGAGCCGATGGAGTACCTGGCGTCTTTGTTCCTGATGTCACGCGATCTGCACGAACAAGAGCATTGAAGCGTGCACGGCATGCTGGTGCGTGCACACTATGTTCAGAACTAAACGCACAAGCTTTACATCCAACAGTGGGTCCATACTTTATAATTCGATCAAGAGTGATATATTCATTTCTTTTACCTCTATTTTCTGGGGTGATGCTTGAAAATGGAATGTCCAATGGCAGTATCTCTTCGTGCTGCACTTCACCAAAGGTTGCCAAAGCTTGATCTGCTGCGAATTTGATGGGCAGCTTTGCTGGCCCGTCCTCGACATACAGCTCTTCAGCAGGTATGGCAATGCTGTTTGCATAACCAGGTTCTCTACCTTTCACTTTGGCATAATCCAAAACAAGATACACTCCTAGATGACTTTTGGGACCATCACCGTATCTCCAGCCGACAAACAACCCCGGACGAGTGGATGCATCAAATTTCCCCCTTTGTGATGGATCAACTCTATAATGCACCAATTGTCCAAGTAACAAAGACCTACCTTCAAACTCTTTACCAACAGCTAACATGTGTCTTGTCTGTTCACGACCTGATGCAACATGTTTGGCTGAGATCATAGTGGCAGCAAACTCGACGCTATGTTGCCAAAGACCCTCAATGGTGTCGAACCCTGCTTGAAGGTGGCAGGCCCTGGTCACTTCCTCCAGTGTCCGGATGTCACGTTCCAACACACTATTATGGGGATGTCTGTTTTCAAGAGTGCCCTCGAACACAAAACCCAATTGGGATGTTGCAAGGCGAACCTCTCTGGCTTGATCACTTTTGACCATGATACAGGGCTTACTATAAGCTGGTCCTAGAAAACTCAAAAGGTTCCTAACTACCGTTGGGGTATCCCTTTTGGTGATTGGGTAAGCACGAATCCATCCTGAATGTTCATCACGAATTACCTGCACTGCATTCTCTTTGCCTGATGCAAGCTTCTGGACAATGATGAAATCCGTGGCTATACGCTCCCCGAATGCGGTAGTTGGCTCTAACTCACCTCTTTCTTTGAGTGGGTCACGCCGAACTCTTTGAGTTCTTTTCTTATACATTCTACTTCGATTGCAAATTGGGCATGCTGGATTCTTTGGAAAATGGCATAGAAGGTGTTCGGGGGATTGGGACTCCCTTACTAGCCTTTGCATTCTGCTCAAGGGCTCTTCACCTGCATCTTCTGAATCGGCATCACTGGCTACGGCAAGTTCATGCTCACCTGCAGCAAGAGCGTGCGGAACAGAAACAGAAACAGATTGCATGGCCCTAGAACTATCCTCCGAAATTTGAATACTCTCTTTGAAGATGGGGACATTTTCTTCAACACGGTCAGCGACGAGTTTATTCCCTTTACATCTAATTCGAAGGCTTTCACCACTTTCTGCAAAGTATGGCATTTCACCTGGCATCCAGACAAACGGGCGACCACTGGAAACTATATCACCCAAGCTCCTCGCAATGGGACAGCTATCCAAGATCCTATGCTCGTATGCACCAAATTTGCCACCATGAAAATTAAAACACTCTGTGCTATTTGTCACTCCATTGCCTGTCTCAAACTTGATGGTCGATGCCGATGAGAGGCTTCTATAAATCAAGTCTTCTGGGATTCCTTGATTGACTAAAGACTGGACGGATGCAAGCGAACGAGATGCACCTGAGTCACAAATCCATTCAACGTCATATGACCCAGACTGAGACCATGTGGCAACACAGGCCTGTTCACCAGTGCGGACAACAGTTGGAGCTGCAAAAGGGTGCAGACAACCAACCGGGTTTGACGTGTCCACAACAGATGAGAGTGCAGCGATGGGTGCGAAGAATGCTTTGAAAGGATACATGAACATCTCGAAGGCTTTGCCCATAGATGACATGTTGGTTCTTGATGCATCGGCTCCGCGAATACTGCTAGTGAGCAGCGTGGCCACTGCTGCCTTGGCATGTGCCTTTGCTGGCGAAGCCTTTGACTCCGCCTTGGCTTTTGGTGCTCCTTCATGCGAAAACGGACAGCTGCTACCTCGATTGCAATTCGGGTAAAACAAACACTTAACCGTGGGCTTGGCCGGCTCAGCCTTTGGCTTAGCCTTCGCACTTGGATTTCCAACAGGAGCTTTACCCTTTGGGTTTGGACCAGGCTTTGTCTGATCCTGAGAACCTCCTTCCTTACCTTTCCCACCACCCTTTGGGCTACCAGTCTTCGGCTTTGCTTTGGACTTGGCTGCAGGATTAGGCATAGCACTTTGTGGCTTCTGATCATCGGCACTAGGTTCTCCCATAGCTGAGACAGCTTTACCCTTACCATCACCTTTGGCTTTCGGCTTGGGCTTTTCGGGGCTCAATGCGCGACGAACTGATTCTTCATTGGCATCCTCCCTGAGCTCAATGACAACCGTTTTGAGTTTACCATACAACCAATCCCAAGTCCTAACATGAGATCCGTCACGTGCATCTTTGATGCGATCAATGAACCTTTGCATGGTACGGCAATGTTTGAGTCTGCTAAACAACCATGTGAACTTCGTCATTTCACTGGGTTGATGGCTTAATGGGATAGAGTTCAAAACAAGCTCAATCCTTTCGATGAACTTTGCAAGGGCTTCGGCCGTATATGAATCAAGGGTCAGCTCTAGGAGAGACTGTTGAGTCAGATTGGCACCCCTATTCAAGTCCAACTGAAAACGTCGAGCGATGAGCTGCAACATGAATCGGCCCTTTGGAGAAATTCGAGTCTGCTGACATTGCTCAACATATGCTTGAAATTGCACTCCAAGGTCTCCTTTTAGATGTTTTGGTTCCGTAAGGACAGCTGCTAAGTATGCATCAAGTCTTGGAAGAAACATGCATTCACTGACACTTAAGTCAGCATTTGGATCGAGTGCCTCTAAAGCCCACTGTAGAATGATGTCCCTACCTGTGATATCGATGCTACATAATTTGGTGACTAGCCCATTCTTCCAACTTCTGAATGCAGCAGCATCTTGGGGCAGCGAGTCAATCCTTATGGACTGCAATGCTTTATAGCGATAGACAGACTCTTCGGATGACAAGGACGCGGACCCAATACCAACGCTATGCAAACTTGGATGTTGTGAATGTGGACTACCCCCAAAACCACTACCACCTGGATTACTTGGTGTTGGTGGACCATCAGGCCAACCAAACGGAAACCCCCCTGGTCCTTGACCTTCCTTTGAAGACGAACTAGACCCTGATGGACTATGTCCTGGAGGCGGCACAAATGGCGGCGTGGCGGTTGAGGCATGAGCTGACCGAGGACCCTTGACCGGACTTGGAGGACCCTGGTATGCTGGTGGATACCCTGCACATGCTGATCGGGTATCATATGGGGGCGTGGCAATGGACATCCTTTGTGGTACTGGCAATTGAATCGGAATGTTAGGATTTTGGCTTTGCCTAATTTCCCTGCGAAGTGAGTCAACGACAATATTCAGTTCTTCTTGGTTTACCGCGCCATTAGGATCCTGTGAGGGGGCAACTGGAACTGATGAATGTCTTAACATTACCACTTCATTCTGGAGAGCTGCAATGTGTGCAGACAACTCCTCATTCCTAACCCTTTGGGTCTCAAGAGCCTGATTTTGGGACTCCACTACAGCCATGAGTTTTTGAAGCTGGGCATCTGCTTCCTCAGAACGAACATGAGCTTGATATTGAAGTTGGTTTGCAACATCTTGTGCTCTAGTCAATTCTGATTGGTGCCTAGCATTCATTTCTTGGATTAATGCATTCGCTCTTTCTTCAACAGTTGACGCATACGACCTGGCTTGATGGACTGCACTATGAGCTTCATCATGAATCCTTTGGGCTCGCAATTGAGTATCATGCACAACATTTTGGGCTTGTACCTGGGTTTCATGAACAACACTTTCAGCTCTATGCTGGGTTTCGTGAACACGTGCCACTGCATTCCGGACCATAGATTGGGCTTGTGATTCTACGGATTGAACATGTTGGATGACTTGATCAGGGTCAACCCCAACTTGAATGTGAATGGACCTTTGGTCATAGAGGTTCTGTTGAGTAGCACGTACATGAACTCTAGGTGAATCCTCCATTTCATCATCACTCAATCCTGATACCAAACCCTGAACCGCTGGTACTGGAGATACAAGACTGGACCTAGCAGGAACTATTGACCCTTCCCCACGGTGTGACCCTGGTCTTGGCGGTCTAGGGGTGCTGCTGTGCAAACTCGAACTACGAGATGATATTAGACCATCTTGGCCTTTCTTGGTCTTATTTCTTACTGACAACTGCGATGATTGTTGTTTTGGAGTGGCTGGCACTGCACGTCTGGATGACAATGAACTGGAAGACCTACTAGCTTGACTGGTGGCTTCACGAACCTGCAATGCCCTACCAACATTCTGAATCACTTCTGGCGATGTTGACGAAACCTGCAATGATGTTCCTTCGGAAGTGCCGGCTTCATCCATGATTTCTTTGATTTGTGGCATGATGTTGACTGCGGAACTCACAAGCAAAATGCTCTCAACCACTAGCGGATGGGTTACCTGCTAATCAACAAACACTTATAAAACTATCGATTTACTTTGGAAATTGGAGCTGCACGAATGCAGACAACCAATCCCGGAAATCTACTTTTCCACCCCTCAATGCAAAGTCAGGCCAAACCGGTCTTCTGCCGGATGTATTGCAGTGCTTCACGCACGTTGATGCAATAGTGGACACCTGGGATTTGTCTCTTGTTTCGGATTGAAATGCCAACAACTCTCCAATTGCAAGTGTTGCCCTGTTCGTTGATGAACCCCTGAATCTCACCCAGCACTTCCGGTGAATCGTCAACGTGAATCAGCACCGTACTCAATCTAAAGTGGGATCGCAGCACTGCAAGTTTCCCCTGTTCGCCTGTCGGCTTGCGGGTAATGAAGATCTTGGCAAATTCTGTTTGGTTGGAGGCACACTGAATGACGTTCTGGACAGTATCGTCTCTGTGACAATACGAGCAAACAATCTGTGCGATGTTGCTAGGCAAACCGTGCACAATCGCAAGCACGTCTTTGACTGCCCTTGGATACTCGCCTGCAGAGGCCTTGACAGCGTTTCTGGATGAAACTCTGAACGTGTCCAAAACAAGGTGGTGGTCCCAACTGATCACAGCCTGCGAATTGGTCAAAGATGATTGTCCGTCAATGACTTGAAGCTGCAACCACCTGATTTCCCTTTGGGAAGGATCACGATACTGCACTCTGATGGGAACTGGTTGAGGTGGAGGCCGTGAAGTTCTCAGCAATGGATTCGATCTTGTGATCCGAACTGTAGAACGCCCCACAACAGTCACCCCTTCCTCACTCAACGGTCGTGCCTTTGGTACTGGCACCGTCGAACTTGATGCAGCTGCGGTCGAAGATGATGATTCAAGACGCGGACCCCTCCGAAACCTTTCTGGCAGATTTGGAATTGATTGTCCTTGTCCTTCTCTTTGCAACTGCTCGATGTACTCGGGTCCTCTAGCCCGAATGCGTTCCCACGCAGCCCTTAGCACAGGATCACCAAATGGATTGGCGTTCTCAGCTTCTTGTTCAGGTTCACTTGAATGAACAGAGATTGTGTCGTTTGTTGATCGACTCTCAATGTCAGACAAATCCTCTGAAACTAAGCCAAGTTGCTCCCTCCAATCGGGATTGTCCTGTACAAATTCTCGTAATCCTGGCAAGACCTCAAACTTATTTGCTGGGAAATTCCCGTTCTCAAGATAACTCAATCGAACTTCAGCCTGTCGCCTTCGAACAAGTACTTCCGATGGCGGTGGACGCCGAGTGAAGCCTGTCAGCAACTGGCCAAGATACTCAATCAAGATCCCAAGAAGATGTTTGTGAATTGCCCTTGTACGCCGCGCTGCTTGACCTCTCTGACCCGCCCTGCGGCAGCGAAGGTTCCTCCGGTGAGCAGCGATGACCCCAGCAACCCTGGCCTGGAACCTGTCTCTCGACCGGCTCCTACCCCTCGATGGTGCCGGAGGTGGCAAAGGTGGCATACACAGTCTTGCGTCGCAGGTCTTGCTCTTGCAGTGAAACAAAAAAGAGTAGCTCTTGCGTAGCTCTTGCGGTGAAACTAAAGGTAGCTTGCTTGATCCGATATGTACACCAATCTCTCTTGATTCACTAGTTTCTGGCCTAACTTTTGATTATCTGGGTTATGCTTCCACTAACTACGTTCCTAGGATCTCTCAAGACAAATGCCCTTTGAGCAAGTTTGGGACCGCTGGCAAAATGCCAATCTAAGAACTCACTTTTGAAATTGGTTTTGTTCGGCAACTGGTGAGGTCTTTGACACAACTTGACCAAGTGCTAGTTTCGATGAGGGACAAGCACTTAAATAATCAAGCTACACACCAACTGCGGTTGTGGTTGGATTGAGTAAAGGTTCAACACGCGACAAGCAATGCGACCACTCTACTCCCTTATATGGATGTTATTGGTGAGTGGTGCTGCAATTGGATCTGCAGACTTCCACTCCCGGAACAAGCAGTCCTAAACACGGATGCTCTTCTGCTTTGCTTCCGATACCTGGATAGGCGTTGGAAGGTCACACTTAACACCGCACAAATGGGCCAAAGCTTTGCAACTCGATTTAGCTATGGGACCAAAGGCAGGAATTAAGTGGCGGGGTTTGCCTAACAAAGGATGGCTCAAGTCCTTGTTAAGCTATATATGAATGCACAAAGCGACTGAGGCTGTTAACCTATTGAACTTGTGATGCACAGCCACACACCACAAGTTAACACAGGCACCCAAGCACTACTTTTCCTCAGTGCTTGAGCCAAAAGTCGGATTGATCCAAAATGAGGTGAACCGATTGGTAAGACTCATAGTAACCCATGTCAACCAAGTGGAGTACAATAGTATGTACAAAGGGGTCACATTATGTGAAATCCTTCAACTTTTTCTTGTATGAATTCATACTGTCTTTATGTTGCTGAAATCTCTTTTGTAATGACTGGCAACTACTGCCTATGTAGATTTCATCATCTATAAAAATTTCCAATGAAGTAGATTTTACCGTTCTGAAACTTTTTATCACCTAAACTCACCATTAATTACTATAAATAACTTATTTTTAAGTATATATTTTATAGTGATTAATATATTGATTTGCTCACCTAATCGAAAACAATAGTCCCACTTTCTGTCAATTCTACCACGCTCTCACTAACTAAATGAACCATTATTTCTTGTATTTGCTCCTCTGTTGCTAAACTTCCTTCTGTCCCTTTGATTTTAAAAGTGATTAAACTTCCGGATCGGGTGTTCGTGCCAGTAAAATTAACATCTGGCATCTTCTCCAGTGAAAAAGCCATCACAAATTTGTTCTCTCTGTATTGTTTATAACTGATGTTTAGTGAGTTTTGGTCAGCATTCAGAAAATGAAGTGTTCGGCGTAAAAAGTAGAAGGCTTCAGATAAACTACTCACTTCGAACTCAGGATACTTCTTTGAAGCGATTTGAAGTTGGTAAGTAAGTGCTCTACTGCTGTCAGCAAAGCCTTTACCTGCTTGTGCTGGTATGTTTTCTGGGTCTCCTCCGTCATTAATCTGCCCCCATATCATAGGATTATAAAAATAGTTCCACCTCTTATATACATAATTATCCACTAAATAGTTTGAGTAGATTTCCCCGCCTCTCGGTGTGCGGTATAAAGTAATAAAAGCATTTGTTAATTTAGACGCTGACTTAACAATATTCATATTAATTTCACCACCGCCTGTGTTAAAAGTTTGAGTGATAGTATGATATTGTGGGACAATTAATTTTAATGATTGACCTTCCAATAAATGTTTTGTAATGTTATTATCAACTGTATTATCCAATGTGATTACATCAGCGCGGATAATAACATTGTTAATTTCCCAACTGGTTGATGTATTACCGTCTTGAAAGTAGTAGCTGTTTTTGTCAGTTTGTGTTGCTCCATTACCTTGAGGGACTACAACTGGTTCAGTGCCATCGCTTACAATGGTAAATTCTAATTCCAAAGGAGCAAAACGAAGTGGGAGGTAATATGAACTTTCCATTAACCCACATACCGGCTTGTGGGAGAGGCGGACTTTTGAATTAGCGCCGGGTATGCCTGATAATGAATGCCTTGTATGTCTAAAATCAACTCTACCATACTCGTTGTGGTCGCCGTTTGGATAATAATTTGTTCCATCACCAGTGCCGTTAATTTAAAGGAAATTATCTAATCCATTAGCGTACTTATGGTAGTCATCATCATAGGAAGGATTAGCGCTACTTTCAATGTCATCCATTTCATTAACATCCTTTGGCTTAAATGATTTAAATAACTCACAGTGTCGGTTATATTCAACAATATCCTGAACCATTTGACCACCTACAGTAGCCCTGTATCTTTGAAAGAATGAATGAAGACCACCTAAAGGTCGTAAAAACTTTGCCCTTGTGCCGTCAGTATTTTGTAAGTAAGCAAATAGACGGACACTACTCAAATCTAAATATTGGTTTGCCTCACCGCTGATGTAAAAGCGTATATTCTTATTACCAGCATTCGGGGCATATACATTAGACCCTGATGGAAAATAATTCACTTGTCTTCTATCAGTGATGTATTGACTTGTTTGGGGTAATCCAAAGTTAAGTTGGTTAATCATAACATCGGAACTTTCGCTAATGATAATAATATTATCCATAACTTATATATTTAAGTTTAGATATTTTATATTCTATATCATTTTTTCTTTTGATGAAGAAAATAAAAACTAATTTTCATTAATTTTTATTTTTTCTTGGGTGCTATTAACTTAACATTTTTGGATTGAATATTATTGCTTATTTTTTCTATATTATGTCCATTATTTTCTACTAAACTTTTTATAGCATTATAATCACTGGGTGGTTTATTCATCTCCTTCTCCAATTTACTATAGGTTGATTGTCCTTTTGTTAGAAGTATTGGTTTTTGTTGATGTTTATAATCTATCTTATGAAACATTATTAATATAGTTTATATTTTAATACTTGAATTTGGTGATATTCCATTATCTATCTTTGTTGTAGGACTGATGGAAAACCTGCCAAAGTCAAAGTTTTCATATCCGTGTGCTTTTATGGGGTCTGGTTCATTTAAATTGCTTGTGATTGCGTATCCATCTAAAATTGACACAGGGTCATTAGGATTGCGATAATCCCTATGTTTAGGGTCTTGCCTCCCCCTCCTCTTTGGTTTTATTGCCGGTGTGGCATAAGTAGTTGTTTGAAATCTATTTGGGAAGTTTTCATTAAGTGTATTTGCTACAGCACTACCGAGGCTGTGGCTCACCAGTCTTGTTATTTGAAGATTATTTTTCAAATAATTCACCACATCTTTATACTTTTCAGTTTGTTCAGCATTCCTTGTTGGTAGATGTATCAAGTCATCTAAAATGTCTCTGGTGATGCTTCCATCTTTTCCAGTAGTGCCACTGATGTATAATGTCTTACCAGTAGAATATAGACCTGACGGTGAAGCATAGGCATTTTTAAGACCTTGCCTGTCTTCTAATATTTCTTTGTTTCCTACATTCCTTTCTTCAGCGTATAGTGTTCTGTTGTTTTGTTTCAGGTTGTTTGTTGTTTTTTCTGAAAACTCATTCATTCTTATGTTGCTTTAATTGTTCAGCAGTTCTTCCACATTACCATCTATGTTTTTGATTAAAGTATCAAATTTTCTTCTTCCAATTACTCTGGCTACATTACCAAGAGTTCCTATCATTATATTATTATTGATAAATTAAAATCTAAATTAAGAATATAATAATGATGAGCAATAAATTAACTTACAAAAAGGTGTATGTGAATTCAAAATTTAGACTGCCACAGTCAAGGTCATCATCTGACTTTGTTGTGGAATTACAGGAAAATATGGAACTGCCCCAAGGTAGTAAAATGTGGATTACAGAAGTGTCTTTGCCAACTTCATTTAAGACAACTGAAGTAAATTTCTATGAGTATCTTTATGTGATGATTTATGATAATAACGACATTTTTGTAAAGAATTTCAGGATTTATTTAGGCAATAAAATATATTTCAGTGAGCAACTTTGTTTTGATATTAATGAAGGCTTAAACAGTAATACTGGTGATTTATCTACTGGTGGTATATTTGTGTATGCTTATGATGCTACAACAAGAACTGTTCAATTCAGTATCAAAGATGGATTGAATTACAAAATCAAAATACCTACCGATGAAGAATTAGCAAACTATGTGAATGGTCAGTGGGACAGTGTTTCCGTGCCTTATGATAATAGAAATCCTGTGTCAATAAATTATTTGTTAAGTAATTATGTTGCTACATCTCCATTGTCGGTCTGGACTTCATCATATTTAAATTTAGTTCCATTTAGAGCAGTATATATAAATTCACCTGAACTTACAGATAATCACTATTCAGCACCTAATTCATATTCATCATCCATAATCCGTAAAATACTGATTGACCAGCCACTTGGAGGAGTAGTGAATGATGCCCACGGAGGTGTATTTGCTGATGATTTTATAGATGTAGGTGGCAAGAATTTGAGGAGACTTTCATTTAGGATTACAAATGAAGAAAGCAAGACAATGAACTTTTATGACATCCCCATTGAATTTACATTACTTTTCCATTCTCCTAACTATTAATTTCTCAACATTTTCTTGAAAAACGTAAAAAAAAGAAAATATTAAAATATATCCACTTTTATATATGTCTATTAAAGTAGTTGATTTACAAAATGAAGAAGCAAAGGAAGAACCACCAGCAATTGAACCAATTGAACAAGAAGAGCAACGACAACCAGAAATTATAAATGAAGTTGTTGAAGAAACTAATGAAGAACCAACACCAAAGCAAGAACAAACAGAAGAACCACCAAAACCGAAACCTAAACAACCAAAAGCAAGTGATATAGTCCAATGTCCTGACTGCTCACGAAGTATGACATACAAAAATCTACGCTACAGTCATAAATGCTCACCAGAGCCACCACCGGTCAAGAAACAAGCAAAGCCGAAAGCGAAGCAAACAGCAAAACCTAAACCTAAACCACCTCCCCAAATATATTACAGCAGTGAGAAGAAGAACACCCAACCCAACCTTTAATAAAGAAAAAGCAACCAGTTCCAGTTCAACCCATCAACCCAGTTGATGCTATGGGCTCAACACTACTTGGTATTACAACAACAATTCATAAAACAAAAGCAAGAAAAATACAACAATTTATGTATGAATATGTTATCTTCAAAAACTAAAAAAAAGATAAATATAAAATAATATCTCAATTATTTTATATTTAATGGTTCAATTGGACGGTGGCAATACTATCATAGGAACAGAATTTATCAAACTTTTAGCAACGGGTTCATCAAATTTAGCAACAGAGCAGTATGTAAATACAGCAGTTGCTAATGGTGGAGTTGGTGGAGGAACAGGCACGACTGACTTAACAAATTACTATAATAAAACCGAGACAGATGCGTTATTAAGCAATAAATATAATAAATCAGAGACAGATACACTACTGAATGAC